CTTTTTTTTTTTTTTTTTCTTTTTGTTTCCATCAGTGGCCGTTGTTCGGAGGTTATTTTGTATACGTTTTTTAAAATAAAAGTTCGTGAAAAAATTGCTGCTGTTTAAAGATAGCCTTTATTGGAGGTTCGACTGTACATAATAATGGATAGAAATATTAATTCTTAAGAAAAGAATATAACATTTATTATCTTAAAATTATACTTTTGTTCGTGTGTTTATAAAATAATTATTAAGTTGTATTTAAATAAGAATCCAGTTAATTAGAAAGAGCTTTAAACGTAAGAAAGAACAGGAAACGTACACAAAAAAAATTTATTTTTTTTTTCATTCCAGTGACGAAAAAAATTTGAATTTATGATCAATACTCGTGAGTCAAAATGAAAAAATAATAATAATAAAGATTTAGAAGGTCAAATTTGACCCACGCATCTCAAGTTAAAAGAGTGACTATTTACATAATTAAACAAAATTGAATAAATAAATAAATATATATATATATAATACCAAACCTATTATGTTAATATTAATGTAGAAAAATATATATTAATTAAAATATTTATATAAAAGATTTGTCTAAGTAACCTATAAACCCTAAAACGCCTTTGAAACTTGGACGATTGTGAACTTGTGAAAAATACAAACTACACATAGAATTAATTAAAGAAGAAACAATAATGTTACGGATTCACCTTATTTTGAAATTAGAAAATAATTGAAGATAAATAGATGCAGGTCATTATAACAGGTGGCCCGTGGAATGCGTGTGAAAGTATCCAGTAACAGGAAAGTAAAAACAAATTAGACAATGAAAACAACAAGAATACTTTCAATTATTGACGTTGTGCAATATATTAATTAGATTTCTATCTTTTTCTTGCATGCATCCATTCAAAATTTAATCATTTTTTTATAACGATCAAAAGCTAAGTTATATATTTAAAAATATATATTATATATATAATTTTTTTCTAGTTACTCTACCTGATCGATACTAATTGTCTCGTTCCTCCATTAGAAAAAATAAAATAATAATGAAAAATTAATTAATAACTAGTCATATTTAAATACTACAATTATATTAATAAAAAACTAAGTAGTAATATTCTATTGTTAATGATATAAAATGAGCAATGACGTAGTAAATAATATAAATAATAAATATATAGGATAATACAGCAGTTTTTAATTTTATTAAATTAATATTGATAATTAATGGAATTTATAGAAGATGTAGGAACCTACCAAAACAAGCAGTTCTTGCAGCAGGTGTGTGAAAAATGTAATGCAGATTCACTTATTGATGGGTGTTAATTCTGTGAAGTAATTCACTTCAGCAGACGACAAAAGCAGCGAAGATAGACGTCTGCAATGTGGGTGTCTTTAACCGGTTTTGAGTTGGCGATGCACTTCGTTGGATGTGTTATGCTGTTTACAGAATGCTCATTTACGTAATGTTACTCATAGAATTACTCAATTTTATATTTTTTTAATCAATTATTACTTATGTAATTGGTATACAGTATTGAGTTACATTCATAAATCAATAACGGTGATTCTGAAGTGGTTATTAATATGTGATTAATAAGTTTAATACGTTTAAGTTCGTCTTTAGATAGAGAAATCGTATTAACAACAAAAAATTAATTTCTCAGTTCATTCCTGTATTAACTCATGTTTTAGTGAATACGTTACAATTATCTCGTTAATCTTTATTAATTCTACAATAGAATATGTTGTATAATGTCGATAATAACAAAGTAAATAATAAAAATTTGCATAAAAAATTAAAATGTACAATTTGTAGAAGAAAATTTACTCATCCAACTTCTGTTTAGATAATAATTCTCCTAATCACAAATAGAATAAAATAATAAATTTAAAAAGTTTTGAAAAATTACAGAAACTAGAAAGAAAAATGATTAGGCCTATTAATAAAAAATTTATGTATATAAGCCTATATATATATATATATATATAAGAAATTTTTTTCATCATATAATTTCGTCGTTAACTAAATGTTATCATTATAAAAAATATGATCAGACTACAGTATCATCAGAGATAATTTCTCCTGTAATTTCTATAATGATATCTACAGACTTAACATTACTGCATAACGTATTCCCATGTGGTCTAGTGGTTAGGATATCTGGCTTTCACCCAGAAGGCCCGGGTTCGATTCCCGGCATGGGAAAGTTTTTATTTTTTTTTTTTAAGGCTAGATTATTTACTACCCTGGTCATCTAGCTACGTGTTAGGCTATGGTGAGGGAGAGCAACGAACCCAAGGAATTTTTCATGGGAGATTTGTCCCGGCCTCCGCACTTCATCACCTGGTCGCACCTGTTCTGAGCTTTGCCAAACCCACGAAAAGTATAATTAAAAGAGCCTCTAGTGCCACCAGAAAGAAAAGAATCAAAATATAGAGACTTGTGTGAGTTGCAACAGGTTTCGAAAATTTTATTTCTAATTTTATCAGTAGCGTGCCATCATTAAAAGCGGTGGATGCGCCGCTTCCCTTGTATTTTCTAAAAAATAAATACGTATTAATTTTAATTATATGAAAATAATCGCACAATATTTTATTATAACCATATAATTACAATTAATATATAATTAGTATCTTATTACAAATTTTCTATACTACACGTGAAAAAAAATAAGATTGCTATTGTATATTCGAATATTAATGGCGGAGGGGAAGCGTTGTATTGTCAGCATCTAAAAAGCCAGATTCGCGCATGCGCTTTACAGAGCACCAACCTCACCCGGTTTAGCTGGTGGAAGCCTAGGACTTCGGGTGGATGCTACACGTAAACCGCATCCAATTCTATCCAGGACCGGTCCTGGGCTGTTAGCAGCCCGCTCGCTAGATATTTGGCCGCCCTCTCTCGATTACGCGAATCGCGAGTAGATTTATAACTTAACCCAACCGATAAGAATTTACTGGTATGTTTTTACGACAGTACTGTATAGTCGACAGGAGTTTAAAAAATTCCATTAAAATATTTGATATTTTTATTCCGCTCTCCGATTTTATATTACTCACGGATTTCAATGTTAAACCAGTGATACTACGATTTCGTATGTCCCATCTTTAATTAAGGGGATGTAGAAAAAAACGTGTACAATTCTTGTACAATGTTAAAAAAATTAACTGTTACTTTGACAGCATCATTTACAACTAAATTTAATGAGAGGTGCACGACGTACAGAAAAAGCTCTAGAATTTATTTTCCTTAAATTTACGATTTATGTATCCGTTTGTCATAAAAATTTGTCTTTCCACTTTTTTCCGAGACTACAAATATTCGAGTACAAAGTAACCGGTTTCGACTTATTTCTACTTAAGAAGTAGTTAAATAATTAAGCGATTAGGGAATTGGGGACATAAACAAAACCCTGACGAAAGAGCCGAAATTTTACTTAAACAAAAGCCTAACCGAACCAATCTCTAGCCGAATACAGTGGGACTGATTTCTTCGAAATATTAGATGTAATAAAGACAGACATTTTTCCAGTTCAACGAGAGTGACCGAAAAGTTGTAAATTTTGGAAATTTCCGTGGACAACACCTGGTCCTAAAACGAATTAGTTAGAAAACAAACGACGGACAATCTATTAAGTTTAACATATTTAGACTTTTACAGCTATGGTGAGAAACGTTTAAAATTTACAAGAACCCTGTCGCGTCTTTTGAGGTATATTAGTGATGCGACAAAAGAAGCATTTGACATTGCCAAATCCCGAGGGTATCGGCACCCTCGGGATTTGGCAGCCCGCGTGCATGTACAGTACACACCGCACACCTAGCAGGACCGTCTCTGATTCCACTCGTAGGGAGCTATTTGACTAAGTGGTTAAGATTTAAAGAGTAAAGAATATTTTATGTTATTTTTATGTACGTTTCATTACAAAGCTATATTTAATTATAATTTTCTTTAAAAGTATATTCATACAATTGAAGAATGTTTTGTACCAGGTATGTATATCCACCACACATTTTATTTCACCAAGTAAGTTTTTATAATTTTATTTTTAATTTTAGCCCTTATATCGTGGCTAGCGATTCGGAATGTAATTGCGATATTGAAAATTTATTTTAAAAAAGTTTTGGCTCGAGATCATATAATGAAAAAGAAAACATTATTAAAAGAGAAAGGCCAATGCCTAAGTTAAATATAAACGCTTCAATAAAAAAATTTGTTCGATATTTTCACGATAAAATGGCTCTGTAAATGCATAAAAATGCATTTACAGAGTGAAATTAGTGTGTGGAATAAGAATGTCTTTGACAATTTAGCTGGCAAAAGACACGAAAAATCGTCGATTCTTTCGTATTTGAAGCAATTTGGAAATCGAAGCGGAATAGAATTTAACATTAGTAAATAATATAAAATAAATATTGAAAATTGTAACGAGATAATTATGGGTAATAGATATATTATATCTAAATAAATAGATGCTATATGTTTTTATCAAAGCAAGAATTGGCATTTAGAGGGCATATGAAATATATTGGATCTAATAGCAGAGGTAATTATATTGAACTTGTTTATTTATTAATTACGTAAGATAAATAATCTATTAAAAATACATTTAAAGAATTAACTGATTGCCCCTGGAAGTCGGCTTATTACAGAAACACAGCTTCCCTATCATCAAAAGTCACGGCACACCACTGAATTTTATATTAAATATATGAAAACATATACATTTGATAAGCAAATCTAGTTATCTTTTATATTTATCTACAAACGAGTACAATCCTTTAAACTGAATACTCTTTATTCAACTTTTTTACAGCTGAAAATACCAGACCAGTTCAAATGTATGTACAGTATAATAGCAATTTGGTTGCTACTTGCCCCATTACTGGAGCAATTTTCAACAAAATTGTTATTGTATATATCAATGCATTTATTTCCAAAAAATGATTTCACTGCAACATTTTACGTATATTTTCAGCTGCTCTTCTTCATCATTAAATATTTTGGCTAAGTGATTTATAGTCAGCATTCAGTGGTTTGGTATCCTGAAATTGAAATTATTTCCAAACAATACGTTTCCGATGAAATATTTTTCTCCAACTAACAACAACATGTGAATTTATAAACGTCCAATACTTTAGGATATATTCAATATTTGTTATTAACAATAATAAATAGTTTAAATACTGAAAAAAATAATCTATCAAGAATTCAGATTTAAGAAATTAATTTAATTAATAGAGTAACCGGGACGATAAATACATTTAAAAATTCACATAATTGAAAAAAACAACTAAAATAAATTTAAAGTGTCTTCACATTTTGTCCTTTTTTACGTCTCGGGAATATAACAGTCTTAGTGTTTTTTTTTCCTCTTTAGGCTATTTGAAGGCTCTCACCCGCCTCAAAAACGAAATGTGAAAACACTTTTAATTTATTTTAGTAGTTTCTTCAATTATTTATACACTTTTAAATTACGAAGGCCTCTTACAGCAAGCCCATTATGGGTTCGGCCAGGCCCACGATGGGGCGACCGGGCGGTGGGGAACGGGTCCCCCGACATATCCGGATGGACTACCATCTGAGCGGCCGGATGGCCGAGTGGTCAAAATGGCAGCCTACCGCTCTGGGGGACCCGGGTTCGAATCCGAACGGGTCGAAAAAATCCCCACGAATTTTTCGGGGGGTGGTCCGTTCAGATATGTCGGGCCCCGTCCCTCACCACCCGGCAGCCCCATTGTGGGCCTGGCCGAACCCATAATGGGCTTGCAAAAAGAGGTCCTCTTAGTGCCCACAGGGCGGAAAGAGTAAAAAAAATAAAAAATAAAAAAAAAGGACTACCATCTGAAAAATTCCTGGGACTTT